TTTACTTACGTATTTGCTGTTTCTGGGTTGGAGCACAGTGGCAGTTCAATGCTTGACTTTAACTTGGTGGATTTTGGTGTTACATCGCCATCTTGTGGTTATTAATCTGAAGATATTTCCTTCAAAACAAAACCCAAATGCTTTGTTTTGCAACATACTGTATGGTGCAGAAAACCATTTGTGCTTGTGTGTTTACACACACACACACAGACACACACACACACACACACACAGACGCCAGGAATCTGACCATCTGAAAAGCAGTGTTTTAGATTTGGAGACATGGGAAAGGAAATATCTAAGACTAATCTTTTAATGCAGTCTCTTGCATGATAAAATAAGCTATGCAACCCATCTACTATTATCAAATACATGAGGATATTATAGCAATGCATTTTCTATAATACTATGATTTCAGTAGCAAAGTAAAAACATGTTTCCTCTATTTACCATAAACAACAGAGAAGAAATAATGTTTTTCTTCCTGCTCTGTTAAGAACTTGTTTACATCATAATATGTACCGTTTCTAATGGAATAGGGAAGTCGAGGTAAAGAAAACATACACAGTGAAATCAAATTTTCTTAGATGACTATGACTAGAAATTTACAAAGCAGCTTGTTCCAAAATAAAGTTATCTAACTTAGTGTATGGGTAACACTCTCCATTGAGAAAATATGTATTTCTGGGGAACAGAATTTCACATTTGATAGAGGACAAAATTGAGAGGATATTATGTAGAAAGTTCTATTTTTAAAGTACTGTGATTTTTTTTTTGGAAGAGAGAGTTTAAAAGGAACACATATCTTAATATTCTCCTTCACAGCTAAGGTATACTTTAATAAACTCTCTTTAAATTTGCTTATTGAAATTTTAAATCCACATACTGCTCTTAGAATTGATTCAATTGATTTGTGACTAGCACTCACAGAAATATAATCTGTTCCAGAGCAAATGTGATGGTAGGAAAGAGGGAAGGACCATTTTCCAGGGAGGCTTTCACCCAGATCACGTCTGCCTTTACGAAATTATGCACACTTAAATCCTAGAAAGATCAGTTAGTTGCAAAATAAATTGTTGGTCAATAAACTCAGTCGTAGGTTTATTTATTCTCATTTTCATTTATTTACTGTCATTCTACGACAGGCTACAGTTTGCAGAAACCTTTCTTTTTCTTTTTCTAATTATATATGTAATTACATTCATTGTGGGGCCATTAGAAAACAAGACAAACAGAATTAAAATAAAATGAATTACCTAGAGTCACACACCCAGTGATCACTGCTGTTGGCATTTTGGTATATCATCCAAATTCTACCTTTTTTTTTTTTTAGAAAATGGGATTATGGTTCCATACACCATGATAATGTCCTGTAATCTGTTTCTTTCCCTTAACTATGCATTTACATAGCATTTATCATTCCATTTTATAGCTACACCTTAATTAATTTAAATTAGTCCCCATTACAGACATTTGGCTGGTTTTCAAATTTTTATTCATATAAAACATACTGTAATGAATCTATATATAAGGGGTGTGTTTCATGTGTGACATACATACACTCACCCATATATATCTGTTTTTATTTCTTACCTAATTATTTACTTAGAATTTGTGAAATATTCCTAGGAAGTACTTTTTTGATAGAAATTTCTAGGATAATGGATATTGGCAATTAAGACTAATTACTAGTTAATTGCTCAACAGAAAAAATGTTCCAGGTTATTTTCCTACCAGTTTAAGTTTTCTTGTTTACCTTCAGTTCCAACACCACCTCCTTTTTGTCATTGATGTTTATCAAAGTCTAATGCACATACAGAAAATTGCACTAATCATAAGCCCTCGTGGTAGACTGAAGCCATCTTTCACCTCTCATGCTGGTACTGCTGACATTCACTACCTCATACTTTTTGGGGTGTTCTTTCAAAAACAGGTTTTCTTGAAAAGTTGATCTGTCCTGATTAACTCTTTGCTGCCTCAGGGTACAGAGCATCTCTAAATGAAAGCTCACTCATACCCACAGTTGATAAAGTCGGAGATGGATGAGAACCTTACCTCAGGGGTTCCCACACTTAATTACACAAGAGATCACCGGAGGGAGCTTTAAAGAGATACCAATGCTTGACCCCATTCCCAGACAAAGATTCTGGGGAGAAACTTGGCTGTTAGTTTTAAAAGGTCCCCAGGTGATTATAATTGGTAAGGATTGAGAACCACTGAAACCTCTTTCTCCTGGAGTGATAGATTCAATTCTACTGAATAGATAAATATTAACCTATAGGTGAAGAATGCCTCTGCCTATTTGATGTCCTGGCAGACTTCCAGAGATGAGCTCAGTGTCTGAACCTTTGTCTTTTCCAACTACTGGACAATTCCACAGATTTCACTCCTAGAGCATAATTCTTTAAACTTACTATTTTGATTCACTGCAAATGTAGACTGCCCTAAATGGACCAGTACTTTAGCTGGTCAGTTATTAACACCCAAATATGATTGAGCTTTGAGAGAGGTCGTGATAAAGGAAGAAGAGCCATTGCCACCTTCCCATGTTGAGTAGTATAATGAGGAGAAATGGAGGTACAGAAGCAAACCAATTATATCTGTAAACTTTGCATTAGTCCCAAAGGCATCTATGGCTTTTGGACTATGGTTCTGCCCTTGGGAGCCTTGGTAAACATTCTAGGTCTCACCAGAGAAAATTCAGAACAGTAAAATTGTGCAGCCCCTTGAACCATAATGGAAAAGAACATAAAAAAGAATGTGTGTGTGTGTGTGTATATATATGTATATACATATATATACATATATATGAAACTGAATCACTTTGCTGTATAGCAGAAATTAACATGACATTGTAAATCAACTATACTTCAATTTAAAAAATGTGCAGCCCCCTTGGCATGTCAAAGGAGATAGGAGCCACCTGAAGAGCTCCCAACAGCTAAATCTCAAACGTGAGTGACAAGACATATAAAGGAATATTGGATTACAACCCAAAGTACTAACTAAATACCCATGAGTCTCTACTGATATAAACAAATATTTGAAGAAATAAATAAATATGGGAAAATAGACAAATCTCTCATATGGGAAATTTCTAAATAATTTAGGTAGGTATTCTCCACTCCTTAGGTGTGAGCTGCACATAGTGACTTTTTTCCAAAAAGTGCCATATGGAAAAGGGGGCACGGGGTCAAGTGAACATCATCAGTTGTAAACCATATAGTACGCACCCTTGATATGATGTGTTAAGACTGGCACTTCCCCTGTGTTGCTCTCCTCACAAAACTTCAGGACTCCAGTCTAACCATGAGAAAACATCAGACATACCCACCTTGAAAGACATTGTGCAAAACACATGACAAGTAGCAATTCAAAATTGTCAAGGTCAATGAGGACAAAGAATGTCTGAGAAGGTGTCACAGCCACAGCAGGAGATAAGACAACTACATGTAATGTGGTACCCGGATGAGTTCCTGGAAAAGAAAAGGACATTAGCTTCTAAACTAAGGAAATCTGAATCATGTGTGGACTTTAGTTAATAATAACATATTATATGTGTTCGTTAGTTGTGACAAATATACCATAATGATGTAAGATGTGAACAATAGGGGAAATTGTGTGTAATGTATGGAAATGCTGTGTACTTTCTTCCCAAATTTTCTGAAAATTTAAAACTATTCTAAAATAAAAAGTTTATCAAAAAAGGAAAGGAAAAAGAAAGTGTGATTCCTCAGAGCAGCAGTGAGAACAGCATCTGGGATCTTGTTAAAAATTCAAATTCTCAGGGCCCAGCCCAGACCTCCAGAATCAGAAACTCTGGGGATGTAACAGCCATTTGTGATTCTGCTTCTGTGACTGAGAACTGCTGATCTAGCAGATTGGCCAAGGGCTCTGTTTCCCAGCACTTCTTGTTTTAGATGAGGTCGTATTACTTTTTCTTCAATGTCCAGGAGTGAAGAGTCAGATTAGCCTCTTAGTGGCTTCTGATTTCCCAATTGTCCCTTTCCAGAGAGGGCTGCTCTGCTTGCCTCTCTTCTTATGTTATTCAAATCTGATCCCCAGGGTCCCTTTCAGACCCTTTTGTGCTCATGTCTTTCACAACTTTTCCAGTCCACAGAGATCTCCACCTTGGATATCCCCAGACTCATAACATGAACCAACTTGCATGTTTCCAGAGGCCACAAATCACAGCAGAATGTGAATTCTCTGGAGACACAGGTGACCTTGGGCAAAATGTGTGATCCCTCTGTACTTGAGTTTCTTCATCGTGATTTGGGGATGATGGAAGAGTATCTACCTCCTGGGTTTGTGTGGGAATTGTGAGTTAGTATCATGAGGTATTAATAATAATATCCAGCACTTAGTGAGGACCCAGTAAATGTGAGCTGCTACAATTGTTAGTGGTGGATGTCCTGCCTCTCAAATGTCTCTTCACTCCTCCCAAAACAGCAGGGTTTTGTGCACAAAATAAAGTAATGGCTCAATAAAAATTGGATGAATTGAGTGAATACGTTGAGCCCACAAAATACAAGTTCAAACATAAGGACAGCTCTCCACCCCCCCACCCCCCCGTCTGTCTTCGAAGGCACCTTGATTTTGAGTCAGGATGTTGGAAATCTTTCCTGTTGGTTATATAAGGTTTTTAGACTAAAGCTCAAAATTAGGTTGGAAAATACACCCCATGTGTGTATTTATCTTACTTTAGTCTTCATCCCCTACCTTTGTTCTGTTATCAATGAAAATGCCATTTCAGTTTTGACCTAAGATTATTCTCATTCCCGAGATCCTTAGCAGAGTGTCTGTTAGCCTAAAAGATGAGATTAGTCAGAAAAGAAATTAGCACCTCGGGGACTGTTCTAGCAGCAGGTGGGTAAGTGAATAGGTTGGAATCGTGGTTCAGATTTTCCTTATTTGCTCTTTGGAACAGGTTAAATAGAGATGCAACAACTTATATGCCATAATGAGACAAACCTTGGGTGTTTGGGTTTGTTTTCCAGATGGGGATTAATGTGGTGGATTCTGCAGTATCCGGATTAGGTGGTTGCCCTTATGCAAAAGGTGCTTCTGGGAACGTAGCCACTGAGGATTTGATCTACATGCTTAATGGCCTGGGGGTCAAGACAGTAAGTTAACTTAGCATATTTTAATATTCATACATTCCTTGCAGATTCAAATTTGAATGCTTCTTGGATTTGGGAAGCAACTTTGAGGTCAAGTTTTACTACACTTTTGCTCTTTGCTAAAGTGCATAGTGGGAAAATACAATAAAAAATTCTTGGGGCGGGCTTTATAAAGTAACTTATTGCTATAGTTAGATCACCAATAATGCTACCATTTCACATTTTTATGGTGCTTCATGACCTCCAAAGTCCTTTTTCATCTAGTATCCAGTTTGATTTCACACACTTTGCAAATTTGAGCCTGTCTTTGCTATTATGATTATTGTTTTTGCTGTTTTGTTTTCCTTGGAGGAAAACTAAGATCTTGATTTTCTCATGGTGACAAGTAGGGCTTCTGGAAGAGAGCCCAGGGCACTTTTAAAATGGCCAGTGGAGGACCACAGCTTAATAATACTTAGCATGTGAACAAGAATACTCTCTTTACAAGTGCTACCTGAAAAAGTCACATGCTCTATAATAACCCACCAAAATTAGTACCTTGTTTTGCCACATGCTTGTTAAAATGGCCTACCAGTCTCTAAGGCAGATTTTCTTTTTTTTTAAGGATAAAATATAAAAGGCAAAAAACTGTTCACAGATTATCAGAAGTTCAAAATGTTTTCTGAGATGTAAAGCATCACCTGGATTGCAGAATGGAATTGTCCTCTCCATCTCTCCTCTCTCTCCTCTTCCCTCGTTCTACTGAGCGATGCTCCTGCAGCAGCCAGCTTGTCGGCACTCTCCTTCCCTGTGGCATTCGGTTTCTCACCTCCACCCCTTGCTCCTGCTTTCACCACCCCTTGGAATAGCCTTACTGCCCATACTCGATTTCACCTGGAAAGTGAGGCACCACCATCCTCAAAAACGCACCTTCTAGCATCTCCCTGCTGATTTCCCAGGCCCACACTGCTGGGTTCCTCTCCTCTGTGTTTCCAGGCTACCTTTGTGTCTTCCTCTGAACCTACCACAAGGCTGTAGAACCATCTTCTTTCTGTGTCTAGGTCCCCCTGCAGGCAGAAATATAGTATGACAGCTGATTCACAGGTGCCTGTTGCCTAGAGACCCTCAATAATGTTCAGTGAAAGACTGATACCACTTGGCACTAAACGCCAGGAGCCTCTCTTCTCTGGTTAGAAATAGCTATTACAAAGTAGCCTGATTGTTTCCATCATTTCCATTAGAAATGTATGACCGTGACAGAAGTAGAAATCCTTTCTTTTCTTAAAATTTATTTTATTGAAGTATAGTTGACCTGCAGTGTTGTGTTAATTTCTACTGTAAAGCAAAGTGATTCAGTTATATATATATATATTCTTTCTAATATTCTTTTCCATTATGATTTATCACAGGATATTGAATGCATTTCCCTGTGCTATACAGTAGGGCCTTGTTGTTTTATCTGTCCGGTATATAATAGTTTGCATCTGCTGATCCCAAACTCCCAATTCATAGAAATCCTTTCTTGAAGATTTAAATGACTTGGTTGAACTCAGCTGAGTCAACATATGAACTCTGCTTCATATGTGTCAGACCATGCGGGTCCAAATGCAAATAAGCCATGTCTCCATTCCTAAGAATTTCACAGTTCAAAGACAGTTGTTACATTGGATATCAGCCAACAAGCCAAGACTCTCTGTACAACCTGTATCACTATGTCTCCCATGCCTAGTCAACTACCAAGAGCTACTGCTTCAACTTCTAAAATATTTTGGTTGTTTGTTCCTTCCTTACTATCCTTGCTGTAGCTACATCAGCACAAGTTCTTATCTCTTTCCTGGATATTCATCCTCCACACTGGTCTGCTGGCTTCAGGCTGCCTTTAAATTCATCCTCCTTGCTACCATAAAAGATTTTATCTAAAACACAAATATGAATATGCCTTGCTCCTACTTGGGTAGTCATCAGTGGATTCCCATTTTCTGAAAAGCAAGACTGTGTTCTACACATTTTATACCTTTTCCAGTCACGTGGGCCATTCCTTTCCATGTATCCCATGGTATTTTTCAGATGTCTGGTACCCTTCTCTGCTGACAGTGCCTCATTCCTCTTACTTCTTCTCAAGGACTCATACTGTCCGTACAAGCCTCAGGTTAGGATTTACCTTCCTGGCACCCTTCCCTGACACACTCCTCTCCATTTGTTTCCATACCCTTTTCCTCAGTGGGTTGACTACCCTGCAGCTCTGCCCTCACGATCATCCGAGCATCTCTCTCTCTCAGTGACTTTAGTGGAAGTACTGGATTTCCTGTTTAGGGCTCCATATTGCCTGCTTGACCACAGGCACCCTCAAGACAGAAACCATATTCTGCGAGAAGTTCTTGAAACCCCCAAATGGATCATAGTACATGACACGTATTTAAACACCTGGTTTAAGTGCTAAAAGATTTAAGAATAAATGCAACATTATTTCATAAAGGTATCTGTTCATTAAATAAAACGGTAGAGGAAGGCCGAAACAGAATCCTTTAGTACGATACCAACCAATCCCACTGCGTAATTGCTATAAATGGAATTACTGGAAAGCAAAAAAGAATGCTGGTGACTAAAATCTTATTATCTTTTGTTAGATGTAATTCAGAAATGAAAGACACACATGTAGCTTATTATTTACAAAATTTACATATTACTAGATTAAGGATGTAAAACCAAAATGTGCCTAACAGATACTCCACCCAAAACCATTACTATGACAAAACCAAAGCACGTTAGTACCCTAAAAACAACTTCACAATAAAAAGAAACAGTGAAAATTACTTACCTGTCATTTTACAAAATATTTTTGATGATTTTTTTTTTTTTTTTCGGTACGTGGGCCTCTCACTGCTGTGGCCTCTCCCGTTGTGGAGCACAGGCTCCGGACGCGCAGGCTCAGCGGCCATGGCTCACGGGCCTAGCTGCTCCGCGGCATGTGGGATCATCCCGTACCGGGGCACGAACCTGTATCCCCTGCATCGGCAGGCAGACTCTCAACCACTGCGCCACCAGGGAAGCCCTTTGATGATTTTTAAACAGAAGTAAATTACAAAGAAAACAGTGCCCTAAAAGTTTCTAGAGAGAAGTAACTACCTATATCAAAATGATGATCTCTTTTTGATCACTTGTATGAAAAGCCCCTATGAGTATTTATACTTGTCTGTTTTAAGAAAACGACAAACTTACATACATTTTAAAAACTACTCCTTAATAGCAAGGGAGCCTGAGTCTGTTTGATTTTAAGTCCCTGTTGTTTCTAGTCTGAGTTGAGGGAGGACATAGGAGCTTACGAAATATTACATGGGGCAAATCTCTGGTTAATCCACCTAACACTGTGCCCCCGTTCCACCCTCCCCTCCCCCCACCCCCACAGTGACAGCACAGGTGCAGGGTGGAAACCTCGATGGTGATCTTTGGCTCCACCAAGCCCAAGATGCCGAGCCTGCCTTGAACTTGGCCTTCATACTCAACTGTCGATCTGTCATCCATGGATTTACCAAAGCCTTTGTTGATCCTACTTATGCTTTCAAACAGTACAGCCTCTCAGGCAAACAAGTTCCAGATGTGTACTAAATACTACTCCATTTTATTGGACTACCTCCTTCAATTTCATGCCAGTAAGAGTGTTTCTGAACATGGTTAAAAATTATACATTCATCTTTCCCATATTTTTTACAGCTTTATCAGGTTTGTTTCTTCATATCCTAAGATATACTAAGAGGGTCTTTTTTCCCCCCTAAGTCCTTATCTTTGAACTCCTCCAAATGATTATCATTTTAATTGCCCTTCACTGATATTTTGTAGAGTCTTTCTGGTTCCACTGTTGTCCTTTGTAGAGTTTAGGTATCAGCATGAATTACACTGAGTTATTCAGGTGTGACTAGCCTATGGTTTTATACTAGGGTCAGATTCAAGATATGTTTTAATAAAGCAGAAAAATCTAAAGCTACATAATTCATGGAGATAAATGCCGCCCCCCCATCAATAATGAACAGCATTTTGTTTAGTAATTTTAAGTGGTTAAGTAACGACTAATACAATTAAAAGGAATCTGTTTTGTCTTCTTTCTCCTTAACCCCCTTTCCCACCTGGTATCACTGTCATCTTTGTCTCACCAGGGTGTGAATCTTTACAAAGTGATGGAAGCTGGTGACTTCATCTGCAAAGCTGTGAATAAAACTACAAACTCTAAAGTAGCACAAGCCTCATTCAACGCTTGACTTGAATGCATTTGTGAGTTAAGGCTGAGAAGCTCCATTTCAGCTACAGATACTCAACTGAAAATCATTACTGCCAACTTGTTCTGAAATGTGAAGTAATAGACAAGAGTGGGGGAAAAAAAGAGATACTTTGAAAAAGAGTAGGCTGGATAGATTACAGAAATTGACTGGAAGATACACCAGTCATCAGGTGAATTGCAAGCCGGGGCTAAATAATAAAATTTGTGGACATGCTTTGAACTTGGAGAAAAGTCTACTCTTTTGCTCTTATAGAAACAACTTTTTAATTTAGTCGACGTGAAAATTGACTTCAGATTTCCCTAAGTATCAAAAACTGTGTTAATACTTAATCAAGCTGGCTTAGCACAGCATACATATCATCAGTAGTTTATGAGCTCCTGCATGGTGTGCAAAGTGTGTGGCCTCCATATTATACGTTATGTGCCTCTGGATCTCAACTTCCCATTTGCCAAGTCAGTTAAATTATGGACCAAGTGCCAAATCTCCATCTGACCCTACATAATTTTTAGCGATAGAACTTTTATATTTCAAGTATGCTAACATCTGTTAATTATTTCAGTGGCTTTATCTTGTTCCAGGAGGCTGTGGTCAGTGACAAGTTGCCACACCCTGGAAACATATTACCTTCCATGTTTGTCACATGCATCCAGTTTACCTTGCTTTCCCTCTCATCAGCTGTAGTGAAAACCAGGAGCATGTTACTCGGCTATTGAGAAATAAGGGGTACAACTTTCATCCCAATGTCTAAGTTGCAGTGATGAGAATAGAGTGATACATGTACTTTTATCATTTTCAGCTCACTTCCAAATTGTCCAAGAAATGTCACTGTGATCCTAAGAATATTAAGGCAGTTATTAAAATTCATGAAAAAAAACAACTTTTCCATTGATTCAGTTTGATTAAATCACATCTGTTTGGGGTTGACTTTTTATGGTTATTTTTAATGTTGAAGTGGCTGAAATTTTATCTTTTGTAATAGCATTGCCAGAAATAGCAAAAATTAATATATCAAAGTTGAGAAGAGGCACAGGACGGCTATGTTAAGAAAGAAACGTTTCTGTAACCTATGGAGATCATATGGGGACAGTATTATTCCATGTGGATCTGAATCGTCAGTTTTATTATTTATGTAGACTTCTCCAAGGATACTGGGTGATCTTATCTTTGAATAAATTTGAATAGAATTTGAAATATGAAAGTGAGCATTGTGAGCTTTCTGTTAAATATTCATCAAAACCACAGAAATAAATTCAAGAAAATAAGAGAAGTACTGATTATACCTACATTAACTTTAAAGATACACAATCAAAAGAAAAGGATCACAAGGCAAGCATATTGGAAATTGACAAAAACTAAGTTCCTACGGATAAGGCTAACGCTCAGGTCATGATGGGTGACAGAGCAGGAGCTTGTCATCAGAACTGAATGATTCCTTGCATTTGGGTTAGTGCTGGGGCAGGGTCAGTGCAGAGAGCAAGCAAAATTGCAGCTCTTTGTGGATCTGTTACATCATCTCTTTTCAGGAAGAACATGACACTGCACCCAGGGGCAGGAATGGGACACGTGCCCTAGTGTGCACAGCAGGATACCTACCCATCTTCTGAGGAGACTGACTTTTCCTCTCTCTTATGCAACTGTGGAATTCTTAGTTTTGAGATGTTCGGCAAAGCATCAGTTGATGCAAACTGCTTATAGAAACAGTGAAAGGCAAAACTTTGTTGTTTAGAAATAAAAACCACGGACTCTCCAAAAGGCAGAGCAAGTCGTGAGAACCCCAGGTGCAGCCTAGCACACACTTACATGGCACACACATCAGTCTACCAGTTCATATCCCAGAACACCTGGAAGATTCCTAATCACACGCATCACAGGAAAAGTTTGTGTTTTAGGTCTGTTATCCTTTCTCCACCCAAACCATCTAAACCCTTCTGCTAACTTAAAGAGAGTTTCTTTTCTGGTTTTGGGGAAAAAAAATCACATAATCAATAAAGCTGCCTGAAGTCCATAGGCAGAATCCCCTCAAAGCTATGTTTCCACTAACTAGGAAACTTTGGAATTGTTGTAGGACCTACCCAAACAACCCACCCACACATAAACCCACACCAGGGTTTGCCCTAGGTGAAAGCTTAGGAATGGCAAAGCAATTATGAAATACATATAGAAGTAAACTTTTATGACATCTGCCCTTTAAGGCTACTGTAAAACGTAGAAATTTTCTAAATTCTGGATTCATGAAATTCATAAAGCAAAGAAATGGAAACTGCCTATGACTTGCTGAGAAAATTCAGAATGCCCTTTTATGTTATTTATTCTGATCACTATAACATTTAATAAATACCCTTTTAGCTACACTTATATGGCTATTCATTTCTATTTATGTGCATGAACTCCAGACGTGCAAGTGACAGGTTACTTAGCATTGAATACGTAAGCCACCAATATCCCTATCACAGCAGTAAAGGAGAGCTAAAATAAGGCCTGGGAACCCTCCAGAAATCTGTATCAAATAGGCACGTGAAGACTTGCTGTGAATACCCATAATTGTTTGCAAAGTGCTTTTGTGGACTAGAAGATAGAAGTTTTATGCTTGTGTGGGGCAGGTCTAAAAGTTAAAAAGGAATAGTTTTGGAGGTATAGAGCTCGGGAGGAAAGCGGGGGCTAGGGAGGAAGGCAGGGAGGAGGGATGCAGGATGGAAGGAGGAGGAGACAGTGGGGAGAGAGGGAGGGAGAGAAAGAGAGGGTTGAGAAACTGTATTTATGTCCTGCCTGTGAGCAGCTCCAGTGGAAGGCATCTCCTGCTCTGGTAGAAGCACCAGTTAGGCTGCTTTAAACTGCAGACAATAGTAAACCTCAACTCCATGGGCTTAAGCAGCAACAGTTTTCTCAGATATCTCAGAAATATTGCTTTTCCACCATCATTTAGCTTTGTGACTCAATTATGTTACAAGATAAGAGTTTCTGCCCATTTCCCTGTTGGCACCTTTGGGCTCCTGCACCTGGGAGTTGCAAGATGGTTGTAGCACTTCTGGGCTTCACCCTTCCCACAGGGCTCAGCCTCTGCTGAAGGCTTTTTCTTCTGGAATGCCTGTTTTTAATCAATGAAGAGCGTTTCCCCCACCCCATCCCAAACTTCCTCTCCTGTTTCACTGGGCAGAACATCATCATGTGCCCCTCCCTTAACCACTTACGTGCGGAAAAGACCGTTAGGATACACAAGCCAAGGTTATGGGTGACCTTGAGTGGATCCGTGCAGTGGTGGGGAAAGAGAACCCTGTAGGAGCACGTTTCCTGGTGAGACAGGGTGGGAGAATTGAAGGCAGAAGAGCTCACATCTCTCAGGAAGGAGATGTATCCAAGTTCTCTGAAACTGGAGGAATGGATGGAAATAGAAAAAGTTTCAAACGTGAGAGGAGTAGGTTTTAAGGGGAAAGTAGTCCATCTTGCTAATTGGTCTCTATATTTTTCAGGAAGGTAGGAAGTGAGATCTGCGAGCATTAAAACCGGGGGTGGAGTGAGGGGTTGAGAAGAATGGTAATGTGTGAAACCCACCCAGAGCAGTATTACAGGTTAACGTACTCTAAAAAATAGTACAGATGAACTTATTTACAAAAACAGAAACAGACTCACAGACATAGAAAACAAACTTATGGTTACCAAAGGGGAAAGGTGTGTGGGGGGGGATAAATTAGGAGTTTGGGATTAACAGATGAACACTACCATATGTAAAATAAATAAGCAACAAAGATTTACTGTATAGCACAGGGAACTATATTCAATGTCTTACAATAACCTATAATGGGAAAGAATAGAAAAAAAAGAATATGGATATATACATATATACGTATGACTGAATCACTTTGCCGTACACCAGAAACTTACAATATTGTAAATCAACTATACTTCAATTAAAAAAAAATGAAGTTAACTTACTCTGTAACAGTTTTCCAGGGGCTGTTATGTGCTAAATCTAAGTCCACTTCCTGGTCCTCATGCGACCTTTACACCTGTGTTCCACACACTCTCCCCTCTTGAAGCACTTCTTGATTTTTGTGGCCCTGCTCTCTACTGGGTCCTACTACATCCTTGGTCCCAGGTCCTACCACCTCTTTCATTGTTTGGTCTCCTTCTTCTCTCTATTGTGTTTAACTAGAGACTCACAAATGCAAAATTGCTTACACCCCGCCCCCTCATCCAAATGTGTTCTGTGGCCAGCAGGTTTGTCATCACCTGCTTTTGGGAGCTTTTGGGAAAAGCAGAATCTGGGGCTCCACTCCAGACTGACTGCATCACCATCTGCATTTTTAACAAGATCCTTGCAGGACTCATATGTTTATTACAGTTTGAGAAGCACTTGCCAGTTTGACACCTCCTCTCGGGTATCTAACAGGTATTGGAAGCTCCATGTATTCCAAGTACCTTGTGGCACTTCCCCTTGTGTGTTGTGTCCTAGCCTGTTGTCTTTTCTCTGCTCCTGGAACAAGTCAGCCTGGGACCCATTGCAGGTCCTTTACCTGGTTATTCTCTCTTCCAGTCATGGGTCATGCTCCTTCCCTGGCTGTGATTTCTGGTCACTCAGGTCCTGGCAGCATAAATATCACCTCCTTAGTGAGTCTTCCCAGACAACTCCAACTAAAGTAAGGCTTTAGTTACTTTCTCTCACATCAGCTTGTTTCATTTAACTCTTTACTTGTTTATTTAACTCTCTACTTGTTTATTTAGTTGTTTATTTTCTTTCTTTCCCCAAGAAAATACACGCTCTAAGAGGGCAGGGTCTTTGCTGTGTTTAACATTCTTACTTCCTTAGGGACTGGAGTAATAGCTATCTATTACATGGTGGTTAGGTGGAAAAATAAAAATAGAAATGAGTTAATTTCAAACAAGAAGAAGGGGAGTATGTGACACAAATGTCACATCCCCTGCCAGCTTCCTCCCCTGGATTCTGTTTCCTGGCAAGATCCAATTGAACAGGCTTGTCATCAGGATTTCTCCAGGATGCTTGGATCGGAGACAGATTTCACCAATTTTCTATACGTGGTATCCCTCAAGCTTATTATAACAGCAAATTAAAATATACACATCAACTGTGAGAAGGAGACACTGACCCTAATGCTCAGCCCCAGAAGAGAGGAGGTGTACTGGACTTACTGCCCATCCATCTGTCCTGAGTTGTCTTTGGCATCATCTGATCTATTACTTAACCACTGTGCAACCTCAGT